TTAGTTTAAGTTCTTCTTAAAATCTAGGAAAGCGAAGTATGTTACAATGTTGCTAAACACCCACTCCACAGCTTCCCTGACTTTACTTCATCCTTGAAGATGAATTCTGAGTGGATAGGCGAGGTCGCCATATATACACAGTGGTTGCCCACTGGTATCAAATGAATGTTGCTGAAGGTTATGATGGAGGCCAGACATTCTTAACATACCAGCATCATGCCTTTTACCCTCAGAAATGAAAATTTATTGAGTAAACATACTTGGATTTATATCAGTAGCTAGTGTTATAACACTCTTGTAACTGCAGGTAACTGTTGAGTCACAGACTGTGATTTAATTTTTTTTTTCAATTTTCCAAGTTAATTGGTTAATAGCCATTTTGATTTAGTAGGAGCTGGGTTATAGATATTTCTCTAAGGATTTAAGGGTAGGCTACATTTAATGAAGCTCTTACCAAGGGGCTGACTACCAAAAATGTTTCCTGATAGATTTGATCTTTCCAGACCACTCCTGTAGGTGTAGATACCGTAGCTTCTCAAATCAATTAGCGCCCAGGGAGCTTAATTCAAATTTATGAGAAAATGGGGGTGCTTATTCAAGGATGGGGGGGGGGACTTAATTGAGAGGGGGTGCTTATTTAATTTTTCGTAAATGGTGGCCTGACATGACCATTTTTTTAATACATCATCTACACATAAACAAAATTAACTATTTATTGACATAAAAACTGATCCTAGAGTTTAACTCACCATTAGTGCAATGTACAAATGTAATACTACATGACGAAAACTATGCATCCTTTGCTGTCTCAGTACTCATCCACAAAATGAGGGTAGGGGAGGGGGCACTTATTTGAGTGGGGTACTTATTTTAAATTTTTGGTCGATAGGAGGGGCACTTATTCGAAGGGAGTGCTTAATCGAGGGGGCGCTAATTCGAGGATTTACGGTGGTGACACTTCAATTCAGTTTCAAATTTGGGGGCTTAAATAAGGGGAGGCATTACAGCAGAACGATGCAAATAATCGTATTAGCTTACCAACTGGTCCATACAAATTGGCTATTAAACCATTTGGCGCAACAAATGATTGAAACTTTAGGGCATGTACCCTTTTGTGCCCATTGGGTACACGCTGGTTCTCTCCTGGGCGA